CTTATCCACTGATGACAATTTATCACCCTCCTCTTCATAACAACCTTTTATGTACTTGAAGACTGTTATGATGTCTCCTCTCAGTTTTCTCTTCTCCAGAACTGGACACAGTACCCTAGCTGAGGCCTTATCAATGCTGAGTAGACTGGAAGAATTACTTCTTGTGTCTTGCTCACAACACTCCTGCTACTACATCGCAGAATTATGTTCACTTTTTTTGCAACATGTTAAACTGTTCACTCATATTTACTTTGTGATCCACTATAATCCCCAGATCATTTTCTGCAGTATTCCTTCCTAGACAGTGGAGGGTCCAAGAATGAAAACTCACCGATAAGTCAGAATTTCCCCTCTCTCAGTTCCCTCCATGTCAGATAGGCTTCACGGTGGTATGTAGTTCATCTCTAGGGCCCTACCAAATTCACGATCCATTTTCGTACATTTCATGGTCATATCTTAAAAATCTTGAATGTCATGATTTCAGATATTTAAATCTTAAATTTCACGGAGTTGTCACAGAGCATGAATATATATTGAAAAATGGCAAAACATAAACATGTAAAGCCCTTAAGTTAGCGTTCTCAAACTGGAGGTCACGACCCAACAGAGGGTTGAAAGCTACTGTGGGAGGTTCCGGGTTATTCCACCCTTACTTCTGTGCTGCCTTCAGAACTGGGTAGCTGGAGTGCAGCACTTGCTGGAAGGGTGCTGAGCTCTGAAGGTAGCACTGTCACCAGGAGCGGCATAGCCTTCAAAGCTGGGTTTCCGGCCAGCAGCCGCTGCTCTCTCGCCGCCCAGCTCTGAAGGCAGCATAGACATAAGGGTGGCAATACTGTGACCCCTCCACAACAGACTTGAGGCCCTTTTTTTGGGTCGGGACCTCCAGTTTGAGAAACGCTGTATACTTGTATATACTTTTACCCTATAGTATAAAAAAGTATAGTACAGGGTAAAAGTACACAAAAGACCAGATTTCATAAGGGGAGACCAGATTTCATTGTCCGAGATTCTAACTGTATCTAATTTAGATCTAAGAACCAAAACCTGAAGTTTAATGAAAAGGTGACAATCATTGTGGCCTGTTCCCTCACAACCATCTTTAAGCTTAGTGGCTGGGGGGGGGAGAAAGGCATAAAGGAGGCCTTTTAGACCTTTTTTGAGATAAGGGGACCATAACCTCTGCTTTTGAATGTCTTTTCCTTACACTTTTTTAGTTTTCCAACTTTAGTTTAGAAGTTGGATGTAGAGAGGTTAAATCAACAGGTTTCCAACCAGGCTTGTGATGAACTCAAAGTCTAGCTGATCTAAAAACCGTAAGCACCCATGAAATTAAACCCTTATTCATGCCTAATGCTGGAAGTTTGGCTGAGGAGTTGAGGTATCCTGCTCAAAGCCCCAGCTTTAGTTATTTCTCCTTCTTTTTAGAGGATCTAGAAGGGAGACTTTCATAAGAGGTTTTAAGACTTTCTGCTGCCCTTTTAAGTGCACACTGTAACCAATATCATTCACCAGTCCCTGGGCCAAACCCCTGAGACTGCTAATTGAGAGAGGTCCTGTGAGGAGAACAGTGTATTTCCAGGTAGATTGAAAGGACAGTCTGCAGACTTGTAACCTGCATTATTTCCCTGAAAATAATAGTAGCTACTTAATGGACCCCTATGGGACCCTTGGAAGGAGAGAGGAAGTAGGCCCATCTCCCAGACAAGGGGATCTGAATCACTTCACCACCGCTGCTTGCTGCTGGGTGTGGACTGAGTGGAGCCAACTGCGCAGAACGAGGACTGAGCCAGAACCACTGAGGACAAATGAGACACTGGTATCAAAAAGGTCACAGGAGCCCATACCTTTCATGGCAGTTGAGGCTTTGCACCTGAAACAGTTTGTGGGAAAGGGGGATGTTTTGTGGCCTTCTCAACTACCTCAGCATAGCTCATACATATGTGCTAGGTGGGACAAGGAATTTCTTTTTCCTGGTTACTATGGGAGGGGACCTTGCTTTCCCGCTTCCCCTGAGATTCAGAAGGCTCCAGTGAAACTTTTCTGCTTACTCTGCCAGCTATGCGAATGGCATCCCATGCTTAGGGGAGAGGCAGGGGGCTTTAAGGAAAAGGAAAAAAAATCACCTTACCCTACTTTCATGCCACTGATTCTGGCTCGGGCTCAGTGAAGGGAGTTTCCATGCAGTCTGCTCACCCATCCCAAGGGGTGGACCTTAGCCCCTCACTACCTGGAAACAGAATTCCAGGGGCTTGCTGTCTGTCACTTCTCAGAGAGTGCGACATTCACCCTCCTCACTGAGCCAGAAGAATTTTTTGTTTTAAGTTTAGCGGTTTTGAGGAGGAAAACCCCAAAGCCCATGAAGAAACAGACATTTAATTAAAAATCGTTCAAAGATCCTGTGAAATTTCAGCTTCAAAGGAAGCCCTGGACTGGAGTCTGCCATGTATGCCACTGGAGGCAGATAATTCTGGGAGTGCTTCCTGAATGGCAATCCTAAACCCAGGTTTAGAACAAAGATCTGTTATTTCTCCCATTGCCATGGAGACTCCGAATACCCCACTGTTTTGTGGCCTCCATGTCCAACATGGAGGAGACGGAGAATTAAATACTAACCTCCCTCAGCTCTGAATAAAGAGAGACAGCTGACATGTCAACACTAATTCTTTAAATGGTTTAATCTAGTCTAAATATTATTTCACGCACTTGTTTATAAGGAGTTTAGACATGACTCACTCACTCTTTGTATTGGGTTATTTTGGCTACCTGCATTACAAAATAAAAGTAATACTTTAAAAAAAAATCAGCCGTAATGGTTATAACAAAATAAGCTAGCAAACACCATTTTTCCAGGAGTGCAAAAATGATGTGTGATAAGTTTTGATGATCAACATTAGGCCATCTCCATCAACAGTAAAGTAGCTTTCCATCCCCACTTCCCCGCCCACTCCTTTAAATTGTACCTGCCTACGTTCACAAGACATTACTGGCAAAAAAGCTTCTTGCAGTCAGTAAAAGACTACATTCCAGCAACTACAAACCATTATTACCCCAGCTATCCAGTCACTGCGAGGATACCACCATTTACTATTGGCATAGAGCTTTGGCCTTTTCAGTTAGGGTGTACTATTGGTTTGGGAAGGAAGCATAATCAGATACTCAGGGGAAATGTTCAGAAGGAACATGGAAGAGGGAATAAGTGCCCCTTTCCGTTTTCCGTAATATAGATAGAGGGTCAGGAAGGATAAAGAGAGCTGCACTTCCAGGGTTTAAAGTAAACCTTGAAATCATGGTAGGTGGAAGGGAGAAGTGATGCACTGGCAGTGACATTTCATTCATAGTCACCTCACCACAGTTATGTAATTAATAAATCAAAATATGTATCTGTGAAAAATGATACATTCTCAGATTATAAGACAAGACTTCCTTCCAGAGTTTTATGGGCACAGGAATGTGAAGAAAAAGATGTAGGAACCCTAATCACTCTCCCTGTACATAAAAACATAAAGATGGCCATACTGGCTCAGATTAAATGGTCCACATAGTCCAGAACCTGTCTTCTGACAGCGCCAGAGGCTTCAGAGGAAATGAACAGAACAGCAATTATTGAGTGATCCATCCTGTCATCCAGTCCCAGCTTCTGTACACACTCATGGATAGTTATCCAAGGGTGTAACAAGGTAAGGTTACACCCTTCCATGCTACTAAGCTTCCACAGCAAGTAACAATGCTGTATATAGACATAAACCATATTTAAAATTAATCATGCTATATGACCTGGTTACAAGCTTAAAAGACATAGTACAGATGAACCCAAAAGGCTGGATACAAAAAGATAACTGGGTATATAAAGAGATGAGAGACTATGGTGTGACTGAGACATCAAATTAGTAAATGATAAGTTTGGCGTGTGGCAAGGAAGCAACTACTGCCCCCAAGTACAATAGGTACTTTTCTGATAAGTGGCTCAGCCATGCACCGGGGGGGGGGGGGGTGAGAGGAGAGAGGGGACTTTCATCCTTTGCAACTAGGAGACGACTCCTGTTAGGACCCAATTGAAAGTGCACTCTCCCATTGAATTATATAGGCTTTGAATAAGGGTTTTCACCTACATATCTCAAAAAAAGAGAGATTGTGCTCTCATTTCACACAAAGTGGCAAAGCCTCCAAGCTTTTCTTCAGTTGCCAAAAATAAATGGTAGGAAGTGATGACAAAATGTCCATTCTTTCAAGAGAAGGAAGCAGTTTTTGAACAGAGTGTCTTGTTGCTGAAATAGTTATGTATTGTATGATAATCGTGTTAAGAAAAATATTTCTAGCTCCGGCACTGGTTGTTCACTGTGTGAATTTGTCATCCTAGATTTTAAGTAGATATAAGTAACTTGTCACCTCAAAAATTGAATTTGAGTGGACTGACAAAAGCCTGGTAAGTGCAGGTTGGCAACATATAAAAACTTTCCACACAGCTCTGCCAATGGACCTCAGTCTTGACCTGCAATATCCCCTATTATTCAAGTCCTGTGACACCACAGAGCACTGCCAATTCACCTCACTGTTGATATATAGCATCTGTAATCTTATGCACAGGCATGTTGTCAAGATAGAACACCAGATTCTTATCTCCCTTACAGAAGTGCAGATCAGGAGTTATACCATTTATGTCCATGAGTTATACGACTGTAATACTCATTTAAGGGAGTCAGCCCTTAATACCATGTCTCACTTTAGGGATTACTGGAAGCCAAGTTTATTTTGTGAAAGAACAGATCCCAACATACTATATGGAGATTGTAATACAGTATGAGAATGAAAATAATGAGAAATATTGTGTTCCATTTAGCACAAGCTGTAACAGAATCTATATCACCATTATTCAGTGCACCATTCACAAAGACAGCTGCAGACCCATGTGTCAAAAACATTGTGTTACAGGCATCTAGCAAGAAACAGGTCTATCCCTATCTCTCCTTTTTTTGTGGTTACTTCAGGAGACTCACTCCTACCTCTCATCTGGCTGAAGGTGGTGACGAATTTGCTGGTTACAGACTTGAGTTCATTATTGGCCAGAGTTATGAGATGTATCCCTTCGGCGACATTCCTCATGACTTTGTAAATGCCAATAGGGAACATCATCAACTTGCAGTCAGCCAAATCTGTAGTGAAACAAAGAAAAAAGGACACAAACATGCAGAGCAGGACAGTGTGCACAGAATGCTTCAAGTTACTACCATGTTCATACATTTTATTCTATCCATAAGAATTAGAGAACAGCATAAGAAGAGACAAATTGTCACACTCCTAACGTTACTGGTGCAGTATCAATTTGCATTTAACAGAGGACATTCCTTACTGAGAGGAGCTCAAGACTGTGCAAGAGGATTATTACAGCCTAAAGTTTACCTAGAGATGTGAGAATATATTAGTTTTTGCTTTGTGGATGCAATTTCTCCACCTCATCGACTTTTTCACAGCAAGGACAGTGACATTTCGTCTGAGGGCTTTTTCCTCACCCAAAACTCTAGCTTGTGCTCCTGCGGCAATGACTCCCATGGGATATTACAGTGATTAAAATTGCTGGGATGCAAGAACCCCCAACCATTCCCCCTCCTACCCATGAAATGCCCCTCAGTTCCTGAATAGAGCCTCCTCCAAGGGTTGGCACAGAGCTAGCCCTCTGGCTCCTATAGATAGATGGCTTCCTGAACCAAGGTATTGCACCAGGGGAATATGCGGCTGCTTTGTGGCTCCATGGCACCAGCACAAAGGGACTTCAGGGGAGCCATGACGTAGGCCAGAGTGGTGAGATGGAACAGGTACCTGGGAGATACATGCAGTACACGCACAAGCTGTACAATAAGCTTCTGGTACAAAGTACTTGTGGCTGGCCTGAAAGCTCTGCAGCCTATAATGCGCCATTTAACAACTTACATGTGGTCAGGCAGACAGGAGCAAGGGGAGTGGCTGCTGCTGAGAGATAGGAGCCCAGTCCCCTTACATGTAGGGGCTAGATTCACTGGCACAGGGAGCTGCCAGCAAGGATGCCTGCACCACAGGAGGAGAGGGCATTCACCCCTGGGCAAGGAAGGTTATTTTTTACCCAGGAAGTCTATAGGAATCCTGTTAGTAGAGGCTGCAATGGGTATGTAATGAATTAGAGATTCCTCAGCCATCCTGCCCTTACTCCTCCCTGACCAACACCACACTCTTTTGGGCTTGTACTGGCTGCCTGCAGGAGGAGGCAGTGTTGCTGCTCCACAGTACAGCTGTAGCCTCCCATTGATACCATCCATTTAAACTGGCAGAAACGTAAACTAGAAGCGATGATTTATATTTCTGCTGTTAAAACTGATCTGGCTAGCCACTGGTCTTTGCTATCAGTCAGTTTGTTGTTTTGGATTGTGCCTCACCGACCATGGAACATGCCCCTCCTGCTACTCTTAGCAAGGATCAATAATTTCCCTTGGCCTTTTGGTGAATGTCAAGTATAGCATCTGTTGCTCTTCTATCTCTCTGGGGGAAATGAGGGGAAAGATGGATTACACCTCCCTAATGTATTGTGGTGAGAGCCCAAGAACACCTATAAAAATATATCAAGTATCTCAGAACTTCCTTGAGCAAAAAGCACTTCATGTGATTTTGCCTCCTGAGAAGTGATTAGAGGGCCTTAGTGGAATAGAGAGTTGGTTTCCTTTTTAGGAGAGTATGGGGAATTGTTCTGTGATGCTATCAAACTGCCCACTTCAGAAGGCAAGTAATCAAAATCTGCCTTTCCAGTATGTTGCTGTTCATTGAATTTCTCTCCTTAGCTCCCTCAAGCCCCTACTCACATCTATCTCCACTCTAAATTTGCATTACAGACAAATACAGTACTCTATCTACTATTGTACACAGGCATGTTTAGCAGAACAAAGCATAGTATGCAAGAAGCACTGCTGGTTTTGATAAACTTGAATTCTTATAATCACTTTGAGGTTAATCCCAAGTGAAAAACAATCTGCCTCAGTTTACAGTGTAAACACACAGTGATTAATGACCTGACTAAGTCCCCATTCATCACATACTCCATGTTGTCTCTACAATCATAATCCCACACTTCAAATTCATGTTGATTTTTAAATATGCAGATAAACACTTATCCATCTTTTTGTCTTTGTCTCTATCCCTCCCACTTTACCAATGCTAAGGAAAATGTGTAAGTATCAGAAGATGACAGGTTTCAGAGGAACAGCCGTGTTAGTCTGTATTCGCAAAAAGAAAAGGAGTACTTGTGGCACCTTAGAGACTAACCAATTTATTTGAGCATGAGCTTTCGTGAGCCACAGCTCACTTCTCTGATGAAGTGAGCTGTGGCTCACGAAAGCTCATGCTCAAATAAATTGGTTAGTCTCTAAGGTGCCACAAGTACTCCTTTTCTTTTTATCAGAAGATGGGAAATCCTTTGTTCTAGAAGCTCTCCTCCTCCTCATGGTGTCCTTAGCCTCTGTTTGCCAGAAGCTGGGAATGAACAACAGGGGATGAATCACTTGATGATTACCTGTTCTGTTAATTCCCTCTGAGGTACCTGGCATTGGCCACTGTCAGAAGACAGGTTACTGGGCTAGATGGACCTTTGGTCTGACCCAGTAGGGCCATTCTTATGTTCAAAATGATGGGCCTTTAATTGTGCCAGAAGGCTTTACATAAGCCAGATTCAAAGGGCATTTCTATTCTGAAACAGGAACTATGTGTAAGTAGCCCCTGTTTAATGCAACAGGCCCATTCCCCATACAGATTCAGAATCACCTTTGCTGACTTTCGTGACAACACTGTATGGCTTTTCCTGCAGAGCCATCACAGATAGGAAACCGTGAGCTCATGCTTCATGGACACAATTGAGAACCAGATTCCAACTGCATTCCAGTTGCTTTACTCGGATAAGTAAAGATGTAAGAGGCTGGCACAGGTGCAACTGAGCACAGGCTTTCACCTGCAGAGTCTTCATCACTGATGATACATGAGCTAGAGCGGGGCTTTTCACAACGAATTTTTTGGTGGCCTCAGAGTGTGGCCACCAACGTTTGCTGGTGGCCACTATGTCAGTTTTTCCTAAAATACTTAATTAATTTTAGAAAAACAAATAAATATACACAGGTCCAAATCATAGCAATTTATTTATGTAGGGGTTCTTTTGCAGACTCAGTAATAAAAATAATGTACAATGGTCTCTATTCTTTACTGGACCTAAACAGAATAGAAACACAAATAAGATGCTTTGCATGTTCTTGGCTTTTTTGTTGTTATTTCTTCTGTTTTTTTTGGTTGCATTTTTATTTTTAGACTTGCTAGCTAGTAAGTCTGCTTCTGTGCAAAGTGATATTTGTATGTTAGTATCACTTTTCACAGCAGCAGACTTGTTAGCTAGCTGGGAGGCAGTGAAAAGTGATACTAATAAACATACAAACATCACTTTTCACAGAAGGAGACTTACTCAGCCCTGTCAAGCCGGGGGACAAATTAAGCCTTGTATGGAGAGGTGGGTAGGGAGGCAGCAGGGGCCAGGGATGATGGGATGGATGGGTGAGGGCCTGGGGGGGCGGACAGCAGGGACCAGGAGTGGTGTGGCGAGACCTGAGCCCTGCAGCCGGGAGACGGAGCCAGCCACTGCGCAGCCAAAATCCAGAGCCCAAAGCACCGTGGTCAGAGCCCATGGCTGGAGCCTGCCACCTACCACCCCAAGGCTTAAGTTGGAAGCCTGAGCCCCACTGCCCCCTGGAGAAACTTAACGGCAAAACACAAAATTTCCAGTAAGTTCTTGCAATGTATTTGGGACAAATTTTTGCTTCAGAAAAATGGAGGAAGTTCAGCAATTTTAGAATTCATTCTGACCAAGAGAATGGTAGCAAATCTGAAGGTGAAAGGCAATTTGGATGAAAATGATTAAGAAATTTAGATTTTATGATTCTAAGAAAAGGAAAGAGTGAGATCAGCTGAATAAGGACAATGGACTTAAAAAAAGAAGACTTGAACAAACTCAGAGAAATGACAGGTAAGCTCCCCATGGGAAGAAAATCTGAGGGATAAAGGAATTCAGGAGAGCTAGCTATTTCTCAAAAGGGACAATATTAAAAGCACAATTTCAAACTACCCTGAAGCAAAGGAAACACAGGAAGGACAGTAAGAGGCCAATATGGTTCCATCAGGAGTTCTTTAATGACCTGAAAATCAAATAGTAATCCTACCAAAAGTGGAACATGGACAAATTGCTAAGGTGGAGTAAAAAAGAATAACACATGCATGTAGGGACAAAATCAGAATGGCAAAGGCACAAAATGAGTTACACTTAGCAAGGGACATAAAAGACAACAAGAAGTTCTTTAAATACATTAGGAGCGAGAGACAGACAAAGAAAAGTGCAAGTCCTCTACTTCACTGTGGAAGGAGAACTAAAAAATGACAACATCAAGAAGGTTGAGGTGCTTAATTCCTATTTTGCTAACTAAAAAAGTTAATGGCAACCAGATACTCAACGCACTTAATATTAACAACAAGGAGGAAAGGACACAAGCCAAAAGGGAAAGAACAGGTAAAAGAATATTAAGCTAAGTTAAATGTATTGTATTCAAGTCAGCAGGGCCTGATGAAATTCATTCTAAGGTACTTAAGGAACTAGCTGAAGCAATCTCAAAACCATTAGCAATTACCTTTGAGAACTCCTGGAGGGCAGGCAAGGTCCCAGAGGTGTGGAGAATGGCAAACATAGGGCAAGTCTACACTAGAAACATACTGTGGTAGTACATGCACACACTACCCTCCTTCTGTTGGTGGTGTTTGTCCTCACCAGGGGCCTTTCCACCGACTTAAGATGGGCAGTGGGGGGGGAAGGGGGCTGAGAGCCCAGGCTCTCGGCTCCCCACCAGGAGCCAGCTGCCCCCCTGGTCCAGGCTCTTGGCTTCCCACTAACCACCTCGGGGAGCCTGGGATAAGTAAACACAGTGTCTACACAGGCACTGCATCACCCTAATTATACTGACATAAGGCCTACGCCTCTTTTGGAGGTGCAGTTATGCCACTGTAGTAGGGCACTTACATCGGTTGGAGCAAGGCTGTAGTGCGTACACTGACATAATTAGGTCGATGCAAGTTGCCTTACGTTGACCAAGCCATAGTAACTATA